TTTATTTTTTTCAAATCAAAGCAAATTAAGCTTCCCCTCAAGCAGTTTCTCCATTCCCACTTAATTTTGTTTCGTATTTATTCGAAATTACTGCCAGTTTTTTACCAAATTTTTCTTACAGCTTTGCCAGTGAGTGCTGATTGACTGCTGGACCGTTTTACCAATTTCGTCTTTCATTAATCCATAAAAACATAATTTTAATCATTTTTTCTTCCGTAAGGAAAGTAAAATTTTCAGCACACTAAAATCCGAAATAGTCCCGTTGGAGGAGCTCAGTCGTTATCTTTTCCTGGAAGTCGTCGAACTGCGAAATATGCGGGTCCATTTTCATCTTTTTTTTTAAAAAAATAAGAAAAATTTTAATAAAAATTTGCTGTGGGTTTGTCAAATTTGAAGAGATTTGAATAAGATAAAATCTACTTTTATGTTAACTGTAATATTTTGATCAGCTTTTTGTCTTATCGTCACATCATTCTTCGCCTTTGATAGAGCTTTGAGGTGCTAACTGGATTAATGTATTTTATACAAGTTTTTGTGCTTATTCAAGTATTCCTGCATACTTAGAACTACTTCTAGTTCACCATTAATCCATATTTTGAAAGATTTTTGCATTAAATCAAAAAGAATTCCTATCCAGAAATTTAAATTCAAAAACAAATCCAAAAAAAACTTTCATTTTTTCGAACATTTCAAATTCTCCGGCATTCACTTTTTCGGAAAATCAAATGTATTAGTTTCCAGGATTTTCGGTTTTTGGCCTAAATTATGGGTTATTTAATACGTACTCACTTCCGTTAGCTGTCAGCTTATCAAGGCTGTGTTAATTGGAAACGCCAAAAAAAAAAGTCCCAGATTGTCCATGATAAATGTATTTTTGCAGGAGCGTATTGACTATAGTAAAACCTGGGAAGGTCAATATTTCAATGTTTTGGGCCATTTTTTCTCACTTTATTGTATGTGGAAAATTTTCATTTGTACCGTAAATATTGTATTCGATCGAGTGGGCAAAGTGGAC